CGTTCCATGATGAGTCGTGCTTCACTACCTATCTCATTCTGGGGGTATGCCTTAGAGACTGCCGCCCATATCCTTAATTTAGTACCCACAAAGAAGGTTGCCAAAACACCTCACGAGATGTGGACAGGGAAAGCTCCCTCGTTGGCACATATCAAGGTTTGGGGCTGTGAAGTTTTCGTAAGACGAGAAACTCACGACAAGCTCGAACCTCGTAGTGAGCGATGTATATTCATCGGCTACCCACAAAAATCCTTTGGATATCTCTTCTATAGACCGAATGACAATGTTGTCTTCGTTGCAAGGAGAGGGGTTTTCCGAGAGCGAGAACTCATAAGCCAAGGAGACAGTGGGAGGCAAGTCGATCTTGAAGAGATTCAAGAATCTAGCGATGAAGGAACCTCTAACACTGGCGCTCAACCCGAGGAGGAAACTCCGGTTGAACCAATTGACGAGTCCTTACCTCTTAGACGTTCCGAAAGAGTTAGAGTTCATCCCCAGTTTTATGGTTTTCATATTACTACCGAAGGGGACACGTATATTAGTGATGGTACACTAATAAATCTAGATGAACCTAATAGCTATAAGGAAGCCATGGCAGGCCCAGAGTCTGTAAAATGGAAAGAGGCGATGGACAGCGAGATTCAGTCCATGTATGACAACCAAGTTTGGAATTTGGTTGACAATGTACCAGGTCGTAAGACGGTCGGGTGCAAGTGGATCTTCAAGAAGAAGACCGACGTGGATGGGAACGTGCACACTTATAAGGCGCGATTGGTTGCGAAGGGTTTCACTCAGACTCCTGGAGTTGACTACGACGAAACCTTCTCACCAGTTGCGAAGATAAAGTCTATTAGGGTGATGCTAGCCATTGCTGCATTTCATGACTATGAAATATGGCAAATGGATGTAAAAACCGCTTTCCTTAATGGGAAGTTGGCTGAGGATGTTTACATGGCTCAGCCAGAGGGTTTTGTCGATCCAAAGCATCCCAATAGAGTGTGTAAGCTTGAGAAGTCCATTTATGGGCTTAAGCAAGCGTCTCGCAGATGGAATCTTTGCTTCGATGAGAAAGTCAAAGAGTTTGGATTTGTACGAAGTGAAGATGAATCATGTGTATATGTCAAGGCCAGTGGGAGTATAGTTAGCTTTCTCGTTTTGTATGTCGATGACATACTGCTCATAGGAAACAACGTCCCGACTCTGCAGGAGGTTAAGTCCTGGCTCGGGAAGTGTTTCGCTATGAAGGACCTCGGAGAGGCTTCCTATATTTTAGGAATAAGGATAGTGAGAGAACGAAGTAAGAGACTAATAGGACTTAGTCAGAATACTTACTTGGATAAGGTACTAAAACGTTTTAGTATGGAAAACTCGAAAAAGGGAGAACTACCGATACAGAGTAATGCCAAATTGAGTAAGACTCAAAGCCCGAGTACAGAAGCCGAGATAGCTGAGATGAGCCGAATACCCTATGCTTCCGCAGTTGGCTCAATCATGTACGCTATGACTTGTACTCGCCCTGATGTGGCCTTTGCTTTGAGCATGGTCAGTAGATATCAAGGGAACCCAGGCAGAGCTCATTGGATTGCGGTCAAGAATATACTTAAGTACCTTCGGAGGACCAAGGAATGGTTTTTAGTCCTCGGAGGGAGTGATGACTTAAAGGTACGAGGGTATAGTGACGCCAACTTTCAGACCGACAGGGACAACTACCGTTCGCAGTCGGGCTGGGTCTTTACCCTCAATGGAGGAGCGGTGACTTGGAAAAGTTCCAAGCAAGAAACAATAGCTGATTCAACGTGCGAATCAGAGTACATTGCAGCGAGCGAAGCGTCAAAGGAGGCTATGTGGTTGAAGAACTTCATTGGTGATCTTGGAGTTGTGCCTACCATAAAGGAGCCTATGGAAATTTTCTGTGATAATGAAGGAGCGGTTGCCTTGACCAAGGAACCGAGGGATCATGGTAGATCTCGACATATCGACAGAAAATATCATTTTATTAGACATCGAGTAGAAGAAGGACACCTCGTGGTAAAGAGGGTATCGTCAGAGGATAACCCAGCAGATCCGCTTACGAAGGGACTTAGCAGGGTTAAGCATTTGCAGCACGCTAGGAGCATTGGGCTAAAGGACGATATTAGTTTAGATTAGATAGTTTGGAAACGTGTAATAGATAAATGTAATTGACATTTGATGATTAAATAAAGGAGTATTATTTATAAGTAAAGCTACTGTCTTATGTTAATTGTTTAACTATTGTTTCATTTTGCATGTTTTGACTTCCTGAGTAATTAATTATTTGATAATAATCGAATTATTCGAATAGTCCACAGTCGTTCATATGTTGGAAGTAGATATGAATGAAGACTGTCATGAATTGGTGTGTAGATTGTCTAAAGTGTATTAGACATAGCAAAGTTTGCTACAACGTTCATGAGTGCTTATGAACTTGATTTGAGCATTGGAATAAACCCGCACTTGTTGGAATCACTTCATGGAATTTATCACGAGTGATCACAAGATGGTAATATCATATAGTCTTAAAACCTAGATATATGGTTTATTATTTGTTAATTGGTTATGCATTGATAATACGCAAACGCATCAGTAACTTGATGTTATAAAACGTATTGTTGTGTGTAAATTGATTAGTGGATAATAAATGCATATAAGTCGAAGTTTATCTGTTCCTTTTATCCTAAGAGGGTAAAAGCGATATCAGGGCCCCTCGATGATTTGATTTGACTTATATGCCGGGCCCGGTCAGAACTAAATTGATGTGTTCGATTAAGTTCTATGTCAAATGAATCTGAGATCGAGAAACAAAATTGCAGGACAATAAGTATAACCATGTTCCATGTAATTGTCCGCACGATATCTAGAACAGAGGATTATACGATCCCTTATCTAAAGGACAGGATACTGATAAGATCAGAGTTGACAGCGTCTTTGAGAGCTACGATTGCTAATCGGATTATATATAGTTACTAGACTTATCCAAGTGGGAGACTGTTGGATTAGTGTCTAAGGCTGTAACTATATTTGGTAAGTACTTGACCCGGTTATGCATGGTCCTTTTGGGTTGCCTTCACCATAGCAACTTGACATGATGATTTGTTAAGAGAGAAGAGATATTATTGTTAATATATTATGAGAATAATATATTAAAGAAATAATAATGTTATTTGATTAATATAAGTCATATATTAATTGAGAATTAATTTGGTGACTTAAAGAGGTTAATTAAATAAAGGGGCATAAACTGTCAAATGTGTGATAGTTGTATTTTGGGCTATGTATCCTTATGGATATTAGGGTGAACGAAATTTAGGGGCTTGGGAACCTTAATTTCGTCCAAGCCTATAATCTAGAAGGATCTTGGATTGCTTAGGGCCTAAGTCATTCAATTAGGGTTAAAGGAGAAACCCTAATAGCTCATAGTATAAATAGAACCCTTGGGGTGGAGAAATTGACACTCTTGCAAGCCAAGGAACCCTAGGGCCGATTTCTATCCCTCCTCACTCTCTCTCAAGATCATCTTCTTGCTATTTGGTGTTTGTAAGCCATTAGAGGAGTGACAATTGTGACTCTAAGCTCCAAGAAGAAGAAGTATCAAGCAAGTAATTCAAGGTATTCTTTCAGATCTGATTTCATATGATTAGATTCAATATATTACATTAGATCTAGTATTGCAAGTCTTGGATTCAATGCATGTTCAATTAGAGAAACCTAGATCCAAGCAATTAGGGTTTGCATGTGCACATAGGAAAGTTCTTATGGCTCAAACCCATCATAAAGTTGGCAACTTTATGCCTTTGCATGTCTCAAATGCTCCCAACACCCTCATTAAGACATTTTCAAAGCTCTTAGCCCATGCATGAGGTCAAAATACCCATCAAGACTCCATCTTTATGTTGAAAAAGGACTAAGGGACCTCAGATCTGTCATTTCCATCCTTTGGAGTTGCTTAACTCACCAATAGCGGTCCAAAATCAACCAAAATAGACAAAGATGAAAACCCTAGCTAGATCTAAAGATTAAAGAAGAAAGATCCAAGCTTTTTACCTCCAGTAGCTTTGCAAGATGACTAAAATGCAGGTTCTTGAAGCACCAACTTGTTCCAAGCTTGCTTGACCACCTCTTCTTCTTGGAATGAACACTAGAAGGCCACAAATGCACTCTTTAAAGCTCAAAATGGTCTCACAAGTTTCTCTGGAGTGTAAGGACGTTCTAAGGCTGTGGAGGCTCTCTAGGGTTAAGCCCAAGGAAATTAAGGTCGCTTAAATAGGCCTTATGTCTGAGAATTAGGGTTTTGGATCCCTGGCACGTACACCGAGCGTACTTCTGGTACGCCCAGCTCCTCCGCGTCCAACCCTGCATAGTACTCTAAGCGTACACCCATGTACGCCCAACGTATTTAAGGGGCCAATTATGCTAAAATGTCAATTTCTTGAGGGTTTCAAGTCATACCAGATTTAGGGTGTTACAGAAATCTCTGGATCTACTATCTTCTCCTTGAACCTTCTAGTTCCTTCTTCTTATTCTAGCTTCAAGAGCACACAAAATTACTCACAAAATGCTCACACACTCACAAAATGCTCTAGGGTTTCGTGGATTAGGGTTTGGGACTTGGAGGCTGGGAATGAGGCTAAGGCGTGGGGATTAAGATGCTTAAATAGGGTGCAAAACCCCGAAATTAGGGTTTCATTCTGGTCGATCTACTCGCCGAGTCGAGGGCTCTCGACTCGTCGAGTTGACAACTTAAATGGTGTTACTTTTCCAAAAATAGGACCAAAAATATTATATTGTGTAAACCATATGGACCAAGACTATAACTTACTCAACATTTTAAATAGACCTTCAACTACCGTCATTTTAATAACTCTAATTTTAATAAATAGCTCTTTGTAGACATTTTAAATATTAATTGCTATTAGATTTTTTTTTTTTTTTGGAACAGCAAATCTATTCTATTCTACTCCTATATAACACCTAAATCTCCACCTATGTCTCTCACGAGACTTGAACCCTCGACCTCAAGGAGGGAGGGCAACACCGGATACCGCTAGAAGCCCCTTTGGTAATTGCTATGAGATGCATTTTGACTTTTCATTGGCTAGTTTAGGTGTTAGCTTTGTCCTTGTTAATCGATCTCCACATTTTGCAAAAATATCACGATCAGGATCAGCCCTCATCAGCCCCTGTTCCGTCACGAGAGAGAGTTTTTGGTTCGTAACGTCTCTTGGTGTTTTTCGAGGCACATCTTCCGTGGGATTTTGGATTTTAATCATTCATTTGATTTGGGAATAACTGCTTCTCATCTGCTCCATTTCATCAAGGAAATCTTGGTGAAGTTGATAAGAATCACAGAAGATGTACGTGAAGGCGACACCGACGACGGATCTGAACAGAAACACCGACTGGTTCACGTACCCAGGAGTATGGACAACCTACATCTTCATCTTGTTCTTTTCATGGCTTCTCATTCTCTCCGTTTCTGGTTGCACCCCTGGCATGGCTTGGACCATTGTTAATCTCTCCCACTTCCTCGTAATTATACCTCTCTATCTCTCTCTCTCTCTCTCTCTCTCTCTCTCTCTCTCTTAATCTCAAAATTTAAATACTATTCCATCTCATTGAAAGACAGATGATTTGTCTTCTTTCTGCATCTCAATTCGATTTGGTTTTGAGGGTTACTGTTAGGTGTTCGATCTAAGGTTGATTATAGAAAATTGAATTCAATCATCTTAGTAAATCAATGTCATCCAATACAATTATGGTACAATTTGGAAAAATTACTGAAATATGATGTGTTCGATTTCGTTTTTGGCATATGTAAGCCAATGAGATCCTGAAGCCCTACCGATGTTGACATTTCTCTATTTCGTATTTAGGGTTTTCTAATCATCAGTTAAGATTTACGGATAGCTGAAAGATGAGATCTTTCAGTTTCTTTGTAGGCTATATCAAATTCTTATGGCTTTCTATTATATTGATCCAATTAGTTGTCAGTGTTTTGTATCTATGATGAATGTCTAAGTCCTGTTTCTTATTAGGTCACTTATCACTTTTTCCATTGGATGAAAGGGACTCCATTTGCAGAAGACCAAGGGATTTACAACAGGCTGACATGGTGGGAACAGATCGACAATGGAAAACAGCTGACTAGAAACAGAAAGTTTTTAACAGTCGTTCCTGTTGTTCTGTAAGTACACATATTTAAGCTACAATGGTGATTTCTGAAATATGTGATGGGTGTTGTTTTTCTTTGAGTTGCAGGTATTTGATAGCTTCACACACTACAGATTACCAACACCCGATGCTGTTTTTAAACACAGTTGCTGTGATTGTGCTTGTTATTGCCAAGTTCCCTAATATGCATAAAGTCAGAATCTTTGGGATTAATGGAGATATGTGAGTGGTATTAATAGGTTGTTGTTCAATGTTCATCATGTTTGGAAGTTGTTCACTCTCCTTTGTACTCAAACGGGTAATATAAAGTCAAGATTGGAAAGGTTATCATTTTTGTTTATGCTGCTGCATTCCTGTTCTACAAATGCACTGATTGATATTGAAAATAAAAATGAAAGATTCATCTCTGTATAGTGGAACTTTATTGTATCTTGGAGATTCATGTCTATGTTTTCTTCATCTTCAAAAAGTTGACTTTATATAATTATGTTTGGCTCTAATTTTTGTTTTATAAATCTTGCTATCACGTCCTAAACCAGTCAGACCAAGCTGATGTGTCACACACGGATTAGTCAGTCAGAGGCACCACTGCAAGAGGCTCTTATACAAACACTAAACAGTAAACCTTAAACCCTAATAAAGAAAAAAGAAGCTAATATTTGAAGAAGACAAAAACTACAATTTCCAAGGATGAAATCTAGTTAAATTTCGGGTTTGAAATCTAGATCTTGCCAAAACCCTGAAACTTATTCTAAATTAAACTATAAAGCACAACATTTCTATTTAGTAATAAACCATAAACTATAAAAAATATGCATTTTACATCATCCGATTTATATAAGATCATAGTCTAGAATCCCTACGATACTCATGTGTAAATTACTATCGGCTCAAATGCTCAATGATATTAAAATCATCAACATACGCATATGTATTCCCTTGCTAACAAAGAGTTCATTTAAATTATGCGTATTCCCTTGCTAACAAAGAGTTCATTTAAATTTGGGTTACACAAATGTATTATTATTTATCAACTAAAATAAGAAACTGTCCTAACTTTTATTCGGTTCCATAAAGATGGTCCAAAATTGATTAAAAACTTTCATGTGCCAAATTGCTTATTTATTATTGCATGGCATTTTTAATAAAATTGAAATCCACCTCTCAAAAGAAGAGAGTTTTGCAAAACTGGGAAGAAGAGAGTGAAAAAAAGAACCAAGAAATATTTTCTCCTCTATAAAAGGCTTTACCGAGTTAGGTTTTCTAGCAAAGCATTTGTCGAGTTGACTCAGCCAATACCAAACTCAAAAATCGTTTACCGAGTTGACTCAGCCAATACCGAGTCCACTTCCCATAGCCTAACCCTAACAAGACAATCCCTAATAATTGTACTAAACTTGAAGTACTCGTACTCCAAAACCAGGTTAGTTGATTGAAAACACCATATAGATTTGGTTAGGGTTCTTAATTCTTATTATGAAGTTTTGTAGACCCTAAAATTATTTAAAAATGTCATTTAGTAACCGAGGCTCCGAGAGTCGATGTAAAACCAGACGCTTCGGAGGAGCACCGATTAGAAATGGGCACAGTAACAGCGCCATGGAAACAGCTTCTTCTCAACGCACTGCAGTCCAATTCCCACCTTCGCCACTCTTCCTATCTTCAATTCGTACGTACATATATGTTATATACCTAAGGCATCATCTTTCTTTCTTTTTTATCCAAACACCTTCTATCGGAATAACCTTCATCTCAATTTCGGGGTTTACAGGCAACAATAGGATCCAATGGAAGACCTGCTAATCGCACCGTTGTTTTCAGGTATTACACACAGAGACACACACGATGTTTGGTGTTAATGTGTTACGAAATTTGGGCGTTTGTTGTTATGTAGGGGATTTGCAGATACTAGCAATAAAATTCAAATTAACACGGACTGCAGAAGTCACAAGGTTGATTGTTTCAGCTTAGAAAAATTAATCAAAGGTGAAATCGGTATATTCGAAACTAGGGTATTGATTTTGGAAAATTTTAACTGCAGATTGAAGATCTTAAACAATGCCCATTTGCTGAAGTATGTACACTTTGATTCCCTAAGTCTCCCTTCATTTCTCATATTCTAAATGGATTCGTTATGATTTAGATTTGTTGGTATTTCACTGATTCGTGGGAACAATTCCGGATCAATGGTAAAGTCGATGTCATTGATGGATCAAACCCTGACCCCATGAAACTTCAGGTAGCTCTGTTTTATGATTTCCTTGTTTCAAATTGTGTTAGTATTTGAAACAGTTGAAACAATCGCTACAAATGTATCTGTTCTTGATCATCTTTGGAATCTATGATATAGCAAAGAGAGAAAGCTTGGTTTGCTAGTTCACCAAAATCCAGGCTCCAGTATCTGGGACCAAGTCCAGGGCTTCCTTCTTTAGGTGATCAGCCAACGGAGGTGTCAACTTCATTGGACCCTTCAGCTGGACCTGTTTCAGCTTATTGCTTGCTCCTTCTTGACCCTGATCAGGTCCAAATTATTTTCTGCTCATATATTTATTTGTATGTTATTTATTCTACTCATTATAATTGTAAGAATTTGTTTTGTACTCAGGTTGATTATGTGAATTTGAAGAGTAACGAGAGGATAGCCTTCTCTAGGAAGAACATCAATGAAGAGAGTTCTTGGAGTTCAGACAGAGTCAACCCATGATCTTTATCAACTGTCACTGTGATGTATAAGTTATAAGTTATAACACGTTCATCTTCATGATCTGAATAAAATAAAAAGGTTTGATTTCTTTAGCTTTTATACATATACTATTATATAGTTTAGGCACACTAACTCTCCCCAACTACACTTCTTTAATCAAATTCTCCACCTGTAATTGCCACATACCAAAAGAAAAGACATAAATATCGTCAAAACTTTCAATTTTATTCACTGAAACATGAGCTTTTTTACACGATATATTCTAAAAAATCGGAAATCACACTTAAATACTTAATGCACACTTGTTTTCAAAAATCTTTTACTTGATAAAAGATGACAACCTAATTAGTAATTAACTAACAACGAGGCATATCTGCTGGAGGATGAGGAAGCGTCTCCATTGGCCCTACACCATTCTTCACCACCAATGCAACCGCTAATCCCCAAGTCAAATGTATCTCCAAGTGACAATGCATAAACCAAACCCCTAACAACATTACAAAACATAAACCTCAAAAATATTTTATATGTTTTTTTTTTTTTTTTTTTTTTTTTTTTTTTTAATAAAATTTGTGTTTTACCTGGATTATCAGCAACAAATCTGATGGCAGCCCATCCACCAACAGGCACCCCAATCGTGTTCATGTAAGGTGGGTCCACCAAATTGAAATTAGCAGTTTGCGGGTTATAATTCCCACTACCATATCCAATCACATAAAAACTATACCCATGAAGATGAATCGGGTGATTTTCAGTAGTAACTGTACCCGTATCCTGTAAAATAATCTGGACCCGACTTCCATATTCAATAACCTTTGTTCTCGTCCCATTAACAGATCCCGTGTCATTAGGAGCCGAATTAGGCGCCCCATTAACAAAATCATAAAATTTCAAAGGAGACCCAGGAAAATCCTCAGTAAACCCACCATTAATATGCTCATAATAAGCTCCAAGAATCGAAAAATTCGGCCTAATGAAACTATTATTGTTCATGGAAGCTCCCATGACACCACCATTCAAACCCTGGCAATTCTTCTTCGGTGTTTTTGATCCACATTTGTTCACGTTAAGCCCGATTGTGAAAAAAAGATTCGTGTCTATCTCTTTAGGGACATTGGAAACTTCTAGACTTTTTAACCCATCCATAACCGTTTTAACAGCTAAATTATCATTAAATCTAGGTAAAGGAGCGGGTAATGTGACGCTATTTGGTGTGGCGCCTATGTATTGGAAGTATGCGATTGATGTTATGTTTTGAAATGCAACATTTTGGGCTGACATGTAGGGGCCCATGGCCATGGAATATCTTCCTATTTTCTGATTGGCTGTGACTAGGACATTTAGGGTGTGACCTGGCCCTAACATGACTCGATCTGTGGTGAATGGTTTTGTGTATTCTCCATCTGCTTCAACTATGGTTAACTTATGGTTAGCAATTGTGAAGAAACTTTCCATGTTTAGAAGAGCACCAATTATTCTTAACATGTAGGTTTTCCCGGGTACTACATCAATCTTGTACACATCTGTTGAAAAAAATATATTAATTCAACGTGTTTCTATGGGGAAAATGCAAGAAATAGCAATTACCATTTGTTGAGCAGTTGTAGTTGGGGCCCGGATGACCATTGATGGTGTAAGCATCCGCCACCGGAGCACCACCACCACTAGCTGTGACATTCCTCTCAAGTTGCACAAGATCCCAATTCCAATACTCACCTTCAAGAAAAAAAAAATGTAAATAACTAAAAGTGATACTTTTAAATTTTAATTTTGACTTGTTTACTATTTTGTATAAAAATGAAAAATCACTGACCTAAGATAATGGTGTGCTCTTCGTAAGGAGATTTAAAAGGGTAGGGGACTCCTTTTCTAGGGTAGATGATGATTGCACCATAAACAGTTGCTCTAAGCCATGAAAAATGAGCATGCCAGAAAAGGGTACCCTTTTGTTTGACCAAAGTAAACTCATACGTAAATGTTTGACCCGATTGAACAGGACACTGAGTGATATAAGAAGGTCCATCTGACCAACAAGTAAGAATCTGTCTCACACCATGCCTGATATAAATATTTCAATCATTAACGTAAATTAGATTTTTTATATGTATGTAAAAAAAAAAAGATAATGAGATTTAAAAAAAAAAAAAGTATACCAGTGAATTGTGGCATTGTATGGTGTCTCATTTGTGAGTTTCACGATAATTCTGTCATCTTCTTGGGCGTACACAACTGGTCCAGGGTACATCTGGTTAATGGTTACTATTTCTCTCGTTTGACAAAGTTTGTTGACTTTTAACATTTGTACCTAATAAACATAATTTTTAATTATCAAAATCAGTTAAATTCAAAAAAACAGAAAAGAGAATCATAAATAAAATTAGAAATTGAAATAGGAATAGAAAGAAAGACCTTGAAGTCGTAGTATCTTGTTGATCCACCTTTAGGCCATTGGGACATGACATGAAGCATGTTATGAGCAAAAATACAATGAAATAATAAGCTTATTAGGCCATGCTTTGAAGAATTGGCCATTTTTGCTTACACTTTGAGAGAAGAATGTGTAAAGAAGAAGTGAGAAAATGATAGAAGGGAGGGGGGGCTTTTTAATGCTTCACCAAAGGTTCTTTTTATTTTTTATTTTTATTTTTATGGAAAATATTTTTTAGTAAAAGTTGGAAGAAGGAGAAAAAAAGGATTTATGAAGGTGTATTACGTTTGTCAGCTTTCATGATTCACTTTACTTTTGGATTTCTAATAATAAGTTGTTGGGAGATGTTTTCTCTTCACTCTTTACTTCACTCACACCTTCTTCAAACATACTATATTACAATTTTGGTCCTTTAGTAATACCTGATTTTTCCAATTTTGATCCCAAATAGTTTTTTCTTGCAGTTTTCATGTTTTTGAGGTTTTTGTAACGTTTTTTTTTCTTTCCCAAGTAAAATGATTATATTTTGAGACCAAATTTGTAAAATCAGTTACGCATGCACCAAAAATAGTCATTTTAATTGAATCAAAATTACAAAAATAAACTACATTCTAGGCCCAAACTCTAATTTACTCTGAAGTTTACAAAGATGGAGTGAGAGAATCTATTAAGACTGACCAAAAGAAAGAAGTTCTTTTTTTTTTTTTTTTTTTTTTTTTTTAATAATTTCTTTTATCTTTTACTTTGCAGTGATGGTTAAAAGTTGAATTTGCTTGGCTTTAATTGGACATTCTACTTCTAGAAATGATGATAAGCCATTGGTGCATGCTAATGTAGGGACTCTTACAATAATTTGGTTTTGTTGTTCTCCAAACAATATTGGATTATGACTATAAATTTAGGGATTGTTAAGGGAACTATTGTTCCCAATTCCCTAACCGAATTCCGGTTGTTTAGTTTCTAGTCGACATAAATAACAGTTATTTGATTATGTAGTTATCTGATTATGTGGAAACCGTACCATTTTTTTTTCAATTGTCATGATTGAAAATAAAACATGTTTCGACTTTGAGTTATGAAAAATGACATTTTTCCATCACGAGGGTTGACTTGGCTCGTGAAACTCGTTTAAGTTGATATTAATGTATACCGCTATATATATCTAAGTACCTAGTAATGCGAAACATATATACAAATTTTTTCTAATAATGAAATAAAAGAAAAGAAAAGTATCGACTTTAATGTTTATATAATGTTTAACTGTACTAAGGAAAGGGAAGAAATTAGTTTATATTGTTTAAATATGAATATAAATGAAGATGAAAGCCATGGCCATGCATGCGTACACGATGATGATTATGTCAATATGTTTTAAATATTTTTTGCATGTCAAAGAAAGCAGTTGGAGCCAACGTCTCTAAAAACAAACCCTATTTCTTATTAGAATTTTTTTTCTTCATAAGTTACAAGTGAAATTTGTGTAAAAATGCATGATATTAAATCAGATTTGGTGAACAAATATAAAGAAAATCACTTTGCTGCCCTCATCCATCATGTCTTTGACATATTTTAAATTGATTTGGTATTTTGTTTTAAACATAAAACAACCCCTTAAATTTGTCGGATACTTATATATATATATATATTTTTTTGCTTCTTTTCTTCTATTATACTCTAAGTATTTACTTTGTAAATTCTCGTGTTTTATATTTAATCTTTCCAATTTGATTGGGTTATTTATCGGTTACTATCTTTTGGCAGGTCAAAGAACATATGATGTCTGTTACTTTTTTTTTTCATCAATTTAATACCCGTTTATATGGTGCGAAATGATATAGATATGCATGTTACAAGAACTAAAAGTGTGACCATAACATGTAGGGAAAATAAAAAGAATGAAAAAAGCCAATGAAATGTGAAAAATGTGAAAAAAGCCAATGAGCAATGGTATCCAATGGTTGAAGCTTCATAAATAGCTTAAAAAGTGTTAAAAAAGGGTAAACAAGAGCCGATCTTTAACATCCTGAGACTTTAGTGTTTTCCATCGGTAAATATTACAAGCAAAATTAAAGTTTTCGTTTGGTCAACGATTTAGCAAATCACAAAAAAATAAATGAAACTATCATTTAATGACCTTTTTTTTGTTGCAAAATAAAGAGTTATTGCTAAATAATAATAATAATAATAATAATAATAATTTTGTGAAATCTCCTCGATTTTAATATATATTTTTCTTTTTTCATCCGGTATAACTTATTTTGCCATTCCTTCAATGAAGTGCATGAAATTAACCAATCGATTATAATATATGCACCAAGAACTATGCAAAAAAGAGCTGAATTGCAAAATATTAAGGCTCAAGTAAAGTTTTCGTAACAATCAAAATTATAAGTTTTGCAAAGATATTGACAGATAACTCCTGCGTCCATTAACCAATTTGCTATGGACGGATCCGACCTTCTGTTCCGCGGTATCGGGGCTTGCGTTGGCAATAGGCTGTTCACCGGTGATGTAAAAACGAAGGCATCAAGTTGTTGAGCCGGGTGTTGTTGTTAACGAGGCAGGCTTATGGGCTGCAGATAGGCCCATTGTGACAACGACTAAGATGGGCTGGTGGCCTCTGGGCCTTGGGGTGTAGGGTGTGGGGCTGGAAGCCGTTGTTGATATTCCTCAAGAAGAAGCATCAAACGTGTTTGAAAAAACGATGGTAAGGGTGACCGGTGGCAAAAGATTCTATATATTTAATCATATTTTTCTCTGTGGCCGCTGATCAAACATGCGACCAAGTTTTTCTCAGGGACGGGTTCATCAAAATTGGAACAAAAAAAAATCGTAAATCACCTTGATGCATAGACAATATTCAGTGATGGATAGACGACCAAGTTGAATGGAGCGTAGGCCGCTTTCGAGTTGCATCGCACGTGCAACTTTATTATCACGAAACCAATCTTCTAGTGAGACCTTTCTTGAGAATTATTTGGAGCAAACCCTTACTAATCAGTCCATAAATCTGAGTTTCACCAACGACTCAAGCTTTTTCTATTTTTTATCTAGAGTTTCAAGGTTGATGTCCGTGAGATGGTCCAACTGTTGGAATGGGTTCAAGCAATCTAATTTATGGCAAGTCTAGTTTATGACAAGTTAGTCATAAGTTTCCTAGTCTAATACAAGCTGGTATGTTAGGCTATAAATACATGTCTAGATCGAGTTTATGATTATGAGAACAGATTGTAAACATTGGTTTTGAGTGATTTTCCAATTAATCAACGAGTTATTTTGTTTTATTTTGTTTTGCATTCTTGTTTTCTAAACTTCAATTGGTATCAGAGCATAGGGTTCGTGAGGACGTAGGGCGGCCGGTTTGAGAGTCGGATTCAAGAAAACTGTAGTCTTTCACTGCGGGGCAGACGCATCGGGATCCGGGTTCGGTTTAAGGGGGTGTGGAGTTTTTTTAGTACGAGTTGAAGCATCTCAATAGCAGCCCCGATTTCTATTGATCGGGCTTGTTCTACGGTAGGTAGAGAGAGATTAACCAGAGGCGCAGAATAAACGAACGAGAAGACGTAAAGCGGGTAGCTTTTATTCGGTTCGTTTGGCGGGTGACGGAAGACGGTAAAGGTGGTCGTGACCGAGGTGGAGGTTGGGTGTCCGGAAAAGTCGAGAATTGAGATGGTTCGAAAAGAAGGTGATTTTTTCGGAATGTGACGATAACGATGAGCCCGTATTTTAAATACGGATTGGGGTTAAAGAATTCTCTAGAAGGACTTAGAGATTCGGGGGTGATTGTTGGAATCCTAAGTCTTGGGGTCCAAACAATCTAATTTATGGCAAGTCTAGTTTATGGCAAGTTAGTCATAAGTTTCCTAGTTTAATACAAGTTGGTATGTTAGGCTATAAATACATGTCTAGATCGAGTTTATGGTTATGAGAACAGATTGTAAACATTGGTTTTGAGTAATTTTCCAATTAGTCAAAGAGTTATTTTGGTTATTTTATTTTGCATTTTTGTTTTCTAAACTTTACCAACACATCAAAGCTCATACCATGAGTTTCGAAGAGCTATCATCATCCATCGTAGTTAAGTTTGCCAAGATCTAGTGTGGGTTGTATGTAGGATTTGATGTTTGTTATTCCGAAGAGTTTTATTGGAGGTTTTTTTTGTCGACATGGTGCATAAGACGGTTAAGGTTACCGCAGAGAGAGAGAGAGAGAGAGAGAGAGAGAGAGCTTTGATATCATGAAATAATGAGTATTTTCTAATAACTATATTGATTATTATTTCTCATAATATGTACAATTTTTTTGTAGGCTGGACCATGACTAAATGAACTATAGGATAATAGTAAAACATGTTTAATACAATACAACAATGCCTAAAACATGTATAATAATATAACATATAGACTAATACTATGATGATGTTGCACTTTGGCACTAAAATAGTATGTATAAAGCCAATGAAAAATGGTGCTATGTAGAATTTTTACATAGAAGGTCCAGAGTTTGAAAACTAGCAATACACAAAATATTGTTACCGCTCCATGTGATGGAGCCTTGGGCAATTTCAGCTTGACCTGTTTAAATGGTGTGGTATTTTTCATATACATATTTACACACACACACACACACACACACACACACACACATATATATATATATATATATATATATATATATATATATATATATATATATATATATATATATATATATATGATGCGACATCGACCTCCGGCGAGTCTTTTGGTCTTCTGCTGCGGCGGAGATCTGGACATCACAGAGCAAAGTCGTTAGAGCCTCCCCAGGGATTGTGCCCCGGGAGCAGACTCCGACGATCAATTTAGATCAGCTAGAAGATCTGAGATGGTCCTCCATAGCTGGAGAGAACCATCTTGGTGCTAGTGGTGGTGTATGGTGGCTGACGGCGGCGGGTGGCGGCTGAGCCACCTGACCGGAGTATAGTGTGGCGGCTGAGCCATGGGGGAAGTCTGTGGTGGCTGCTAAACCAAAGGGAAGAGAGGTCCTAGTGGTGGCTGAACCACTTGGGAAAGAGTCTTCCTTCATGGAGGAGGCACTATTCTATTTATAGTGGACAATTAGGTCAAGGGGAATTGGGTCAGGCCATGGGCCAGCCCAATTCAGGCCCAGCTAGCAAGGAGCTGGGCAAGGCCGCCCGGAGGCGCCGGGCTGGGTTGGCGGGCGCACCCCAGGCAAGGCTGGCGGGCGCGCACCAGGAAAGGATGGCAGGGGAGCGCCAGGCGAGGGAGCGCCTGGCCGAGCCGGCAGGAGAGTCCCCAGCAGGGCTGGCAAGGGAACGCCAGGCAGGGCTGGCAGGAGCGCGCCAGGCCAGGCTGGTGCTCTAGATCAGTCTAGGCCATGTTAATGGACCATATATCATCAATATATATATATATATATATATATATATATATATATATATATATATATATATATATATATACA